TCAGAGTATGTGTTTGTGAAATAAAATATATTTATGATATATGTTTCATTGTATGAATAAAAAAGAACATATATATTAGAAATTGTATACCTATTTAATAATACAATACACGAACTATATTTTTTATGTAGTAATAATGTGCTAATTTTATAAATTGTTAATTAATGCTTATGTGGTAGATAATTTATGTATACATAATGAATATATCACATGTGTAAAATATAATAATAAAGCATAAATCATTTTGATCTTTTAAAAAAAAATTATTCCATTAAAAGTTTTATTAGTCCTATTCTAAAACGTAGAAGAATTATTAAATAATATTTTTGATAAAATATTAAAGCATGAATCTAAATTATGTTATTATTGTAAAAATAAAAATTTGTATTAATTGAAAATTACATAATATATACAATAAAATAAATAACTTACTAATTCATTTTTATAAATATGTTTTTATGCAGATCAATGTAGCTCTTATGAATAAATAAAATAATAAATGAAGTAGGTTTTAGAATATTATTTTTTAAATGTGTATAGAAATACGTGAACTAATAATAAATATAAGTACAAAATGATAAATACAAATTGAGTAATATAATGTAGAACAATATTTCTATATATAAAATAATAATATAATTAATACAAAACAAAGTTAACGTAACATACATCAATCACGATTTTTCAATAATAAAAAAACTAATAAAGCAATATAGATAAATAGGAAAGGTTTATTATATACTATATAAAATAAATTACTATTAAGTAAATTTTACTTATAATTAACATAAATAATATAATATATATATAAACACATGAAACATAAAAGCACATGTCGATATATATACCAATATATTCAATATATAATAAAAAATATTATATTATAAAATTTAATCCTAATATTTATAACAGATATTATAATTCAAAACACTATGTTCTAAAACAAAAAATTCTAAATATCAAAAACAAATACTAAAAAAATATATATAAATAAAAAAAATTAAATGTATAAATTAAATCATAAGCCCTAAAACTGCATATACCAATCCAACAATACATATCTATGAAAAATAAACCCTGATCCTTTAACATACTCGGTTTTTATTTATTTATTTTAATACTTTTTTTTATAAGTATTTTTACAATAATTGAACAAGACATATTAAGATTTTAAGTCTATAAATATTCTTTTTACATATATGAACAATTGTTTATGTGTTCTTTAATTTCATAATTAATTNNATTAATTTTATCTCAATAAATAAAAACTGATTAACATTTATTCTGTGTTCAAAAACGTTACGCTGTGTTGTATCCTATATAATTTTCTTTTAAATATTCAAAAAATGAATTATAAGTCTCAGATCTATGGGTGGATAATCTATTTACTTTTTTAGTTAACTTGTTTATCATATTAGCTATATTTGGAAAGTTATTTTGATGTTTTCTTTTTATTGGTTTAAACTTGTAAATTTATGAATATTAAAGCACATGTGCAATATATTAAGCTATTACATATTGATATGTGTTGAATTGATTTACTAGGATAATAAACATTATATGAATTAATGTAATTTTTATTTACATTATATAAAACACCAAAAAACATGGATGATAGAACTAATCCTAAAAGAGTATTGCCAAATTTACTTAGAGGATTCGATTTGTCATTAAAATATTCTGATTTTTCCTCAGAACGCTTTGTAATTAATAAAGTACCAGAAGATTCTTCTGGAGCATGGAGCACTACTTCTTCTTCAAGAATATCCTGTCCAAAACTAACTAATTCCTGATTATCATCATGACAATTAAACTTATCTAACAAATCTTTTGGATTGTACTTTTCGTATTCATTTCACAAACCAGGACACATATGTTTTTGTTTAAGATTACAATAATCATTATGGGACTTATATATAACATTTATGTCACTGAGGTATTTGCATAATTCTTTACACATTTCATTGCATTTACTATTCATATCGTTAAGATAATTAAAATTGAAGGAGTAATCAAACAGTTTTTTTATCATCTACTCACTTATCGTCATAATTGGTAATATAAAGATAAGGTACACATTTGAAAGAACGGAATGCACTATAAACACTACTGGCACGCATCCACATATTTTGAATTTCAGATAATGCTTTAGAACAACATTTTTCATTTATTTTATGAGTTTTTGATAGTTGATCTTATACCAAATAGGTTAATATATTACAATTCATTTTATTATATTTATGTTTACTCCATATTTTGTCTTGATTTATTAAATATATTATATATTTTGAACAAAGCTTTTTAATTTGATCAAATTCACGATTACTATATTTATATTCACTACAGTAAGTTACATTATCATCTTGTAAACTCTCAGAATCATTATTCAGCATTTTATAAAAAATACTAAAGGTAAATCATTTGTTTTAAAAGTCGGAAAAGTTAAAATGAAAAAATAAAAACATGATCATTTAGATATTCATTATTATTATGCACTTTTTATTGTAGATAATTAAGAGCAGAATATTCATGAATATACACGTATGCTATAATATGTGTAAATTTAAATGTGTCCATACATCCTCATCTTTTTGGGCTATATTTATATTTAATAATACAATAAATATGCGAAATTATAAATTTATTAATGTCCCTATGTAATTATATGTGTCCTAACTGTGAGTAATATGTCATGCGTAAATACAGAAACTGTTAATATAAGCATAAACATATATTTTAAAATAACAGATTAAAAAGTATAATATATATTTTAAAAAATTCTCTAGAATGCTCAAATAAAAATACTTATTGAATATAATATTTGTTATTTATTCTTTATTGTTAGGAGTGTTCTTC